CCTCCATGTCACCCTCCTTGGACGTCCCACTCGCCGCTTCCCTTTCGGGTTCCACTCGAGCACTGGCCTGACGCGCGATGTCACCCAGCGGCCTCCTCAGCGAGTGTCCAATCCATCTCCACTTTCTCCTGCATATTTGTTGAGCGATTGGTTCTTGTTTTGTTTGTTCCCATAGTTTCTTATTGGTGATTCTTTCCGGCCATCTGATCTTCAGTATAGAGCCAGCGAAGACAGTGTTGTTGATAAAGGTCTGCAACAGGCTGTTGGAAATATTCTTTGTGACCCGCCAAGTTTCTGATCCATCCGTATAGAAGAACTGACTGACTTGACGTTTGTATTGAAAATCCGAATCACTTTGTTGTTGATGCAGGCTGAGTGAGTGACGAAGATTTCCAGATTGGTTTCAGGTTGATGAATGTGTTTTTCGCCTTCCCGATTCCTGATTTGACATCCTCGTCCGTTCCTCCTGTAGTTGAGACAATGCTCCCTAGATAAGTGAATGAAGTAACCTCTTTCAAATCCCTCCCGTTGATGGTGATTGGCGCTGGATGTTGCTGTTGTTGATGTTGTTGTTGGTTGGTTATTTTCATAACCTCCGTCTTGTCTATGTTCACCTGGAGTCCTGTCTTTGCTGCCAGCCTCTTCGACCAGTTTGTCGGTTTTCGCTTGTAAGTCTTCGATTTTGTGTGACATCAAACATAAATCATCCACGCGCGAAATCCAGGTCTTCTAGGTTCTTCACGTCGGTCCAGGATATCCCTGTCTTCTCGTTTCCCACTGCCTGACGACGCATAATCCAGTCCACCACAATTAGGAATATCATTGGTGATAATAAGCACCCTTGTCTGACTCCTGTGTTTACTCCAAACGCCTCGCTGAGTTTTCCGTTGTGGATCACTTGACATGTGTCGTTGTCGTACAGCTGTTGAATAAGGTTGATGAATATTTGGGGTACGCCGTAGTACTCGAGTAGTTTCCAAATTACTTCGCGGTCAACGCTGTCGAAGGCCTTCTCAAAGTCTATAAAGTTGAGGTAGAGATTTGATTGCCATTCCATGCTTTGTTCGATGATAATTCGTAGAGTTGCAATTTGGTCAGAACATGATTTGCCTTTCCTGAATCCAGCTTGTTCTGGTCGGAATTCTGCATCCAGTACGTCCTTTATTCTCTCCAGGATGATGCGACTCAGAATTTTACTTGGCGTCTTTCGCTCTGCATGTAATTAATTCCTGTGTGAAATAATTTCTCAGTCAGTGTCTTATTTCTCAATTATTCGTGTTTTATTCACTGCATTCCAAAAGAGAGTAGAGAATATCAATAATACGGTGTAATCCACTCCATATTGCATTATTATATATTGGAAGTTCGAGTAGATTAGCATTCATTCAGTCAGCTCAATCAAGAAGTTGTTACATAATAAATACATCAGTCTGTCTGCATCTCCATATACGTCGAATAACTTTTTTTCATCCTGCACTGATTTCTCAATTTAAGCTTTATTTAAGCCATCTTCATGTATCACAAATGGTTAGTTAAACGTGCATAATATACGTGTCAGTCCCTGTCTCTAAACCTGACAACAGCAAGAACGTAAAGTCCAGACCCATTGCCATCACTTCCCCGTTTCTAAAGCTTATGAAAAAAACTAGTACTTCTTAAACTTGAACGCTCCCCGTAGAAGTTTTGAAGACCGCAAACAATTTGCCTATAGACAGGGTAGGAGCACTTTAGACGCTGCAGCCGTCTTACACAACAGTATCGTCTCATCATTAGATAAAGGTGCCAAATTCGTCCGCTGCACATTTCTCGACTTCACTTCTGCTTTCGACTCTGTACCTAGATGTCTCTTGCTAAATAAGCTCTCTATGACAAAAACTGAGTCCTGGGTCACTAACTGGTTGCATTCCTACTTCTCTAACAGAATGCAGTACACCGTATATACAAATCCTCTGCTTTGCTCACTGAAGCTGGTGTCCCCCAGGGTGCTGTACTCTCCCCACTTCTCTTTTCTTTCTTTCTTTCTACATGACTTACCATCTTCAAATGACATTAATTTTGTCAAATATGCTGACGACCTGACTGTATCTTTGCCTGTCAAATGTCAAAGTGACCATACCCTACTTAGCTCGTGTTCTGTGCAATAAAGAAAGCATTAGGCATGATACCTATAACTTATTAAATAGTCAGTAGAACAACTGGATCTCGTCTTTCCAACTCATATCATTTATAGGTACAACGTTTTCTTTCTTTCTTTTCCTTTTCTCTCTCTCTTTTTCTCTTTTTTCTGTTATGTGGTGCTTTGTTTCTTTCTTCCGCTTACGCCAGTAAATATGATCACACCTACTTTTCTAACACCTTCAAACACTGTTCAACTTTGGCTTTGCTACCGACATGCCAATATGTTGTTGTCATAATGAACTGAGATTTCCTTAATCTATGTAGAATTTTATTTATTGATAATGTACTAACTGGATGCAATACTGTAGTAAAAATGCTGAGAATTCCATTCTGTATCACAAGTACTGTTTTGGAATAAAGCAAATTATTATTATTATATTGTGCTTATGATTTACTATGATTTTATAGAATGTCTAATTCTCTTTGGTGGCTCATAACTATGTATTCTTTTTTAAATAGATTGCTTCACTTGATTGAATTAGTCATTTGGTAGAGATGCGGCTCACTAGTCGGGGCGCTCAGCTACCAATCGTTTGAATCCTGGTTTCGAACCCTTACCATCTAGTCAAAGTTTAAGAGGTCAGATAGTATCACTAGCTGTCATACTGCCTAATACATGGAGCTGTAAGTGGTTGTTGAGTAACACTCCCGTTTTCAAGAGTTAGTTTGTAAGGATTTGATTTCTTTCAAGTTTGATCTGATATCAGTTAGGGAACTGCCAGAAAACGAGCAATGAGTTATTATTATTTATTATTGTTTCCTTTAATTCCTAGAGGAACATAGGGCTTCAGCCGTGCGTCTCCATTGCGTTCGGTTCTCTGCTAGAGTCTTCACCTGGCTCCAAGTCTGCCCACACGTTTTCATCTCTTCACATGACCTCCTCCTCCATGTCAACCTCACACTGGCGACCAGCTCGCCACTTCCCATTAAGGTTCGACTCGAGTGATGATCTGTTGTGTGATGTCACTTGATGGTTTCCTCAGAGTAAGGCTAGCCAATCCATCTCCATTTCTTCCTGCCTATTTGTTTCACAATCGGTTCCTGGTTGGTTCGCTCATTGCCAGAGATCTCTGTTGCTGATCAACTCTGGCCGGCCATCTGATCTTGAGCGAACTATTGAGCGAAGGCAACTGTTAATGAAGGTCTGTAGTTTGTTTGAGTTGCTCTTTATGACGCACTGGACAAGTGTCTGATCCGTATAGTGAGTAGCACTGACTTCATATTGGGGTTGAAAATCCGGATGTTGTCTTTGATGCTGAGTGTTGTTGACCTCCACACAGACTTGAGAGTAGTGAAAGCTTGTCTTGCTTTTCCGACTATTGCTTTGATATCCTCGTCAGGTCCATTCGCCTGTAGTTGAAAAGATGCTTCCTAGGTAGGTGAGGGAGGTTGTTTCTTTCAGGTTCCTTCCATTTATGCTGGCTGATTGTTGTCTGTTGTTGTCGTTGCTGTTGGTGGTGTTGGCCAGGAATCTTCATCGCCTCTGTTTTCTCTATGTTCACCTGAAGTGAAGTCCTATCTTTGATGTTTCTTCTGCCAACTTGTTGCTTTTCGCTTGCATATCCTCTAGTTTGTGGGAAATCAGACATATATCATCGGCGAAGTCCAGATCCCCCAAGTTTTTTGTGTGAGTCCATTTCATGCCTGTCTCCTCATTGCCGGGCTCGCTGTTTGTCGCATTATCCAGTCTACTGCAATCAGGAAAATCATTGGCGATAGTAGGCAGCCAGCTTGTCTTACTCCTGCCCCCACTTCGAAATATTCCGTAAGCTTCCCGTTGTGGATTACTTGGCATGCAGCATTGTCGTACAGCTGTTGGATGAGATGTATAATTGTCGAGCGATGGGTACTGGATAACTTTTTGGTCTTAGTTTGTGACTCTTCAGCAGGATGCTGGTTACACGGGGAAACTCGTAGACCATTCAGCCAGTAGCATCCGGCTTGATGACCAGTCCATGAAATCAAACTTCTACCACTTCCTGATATTAGCGTGAATGGCACCAGTCACTGTCACCGGTAGTGAGTATTCCTCCCCACTCCCGATATGGAGGACCCCAACTGGTCATGACTTCTCACCAGACCTCCAGACAACTTTGTCCTGTAGGCATTCACCAGCGAATATTAGATTGATTTCCATGAGTTAGTTTGTAAGCATTTGATTTATTTTAAGTTTGATGGTCACGCTTAAATCATAAATATTGTAGAAGTTGGGCTTCATGGGCTCCTGGATCTCGTCCCGATGAGCGAGTGGTCTTTGAGCTTACGCTGTGATCGAAAAGTCCTGGGTTCGAGCACTGATGAGTGTGTACTACCGCCGATGAGTCCTATACTTACTGTCCAGTACTCCCTCCCTAATGATGGCTTGTGATCCCATTTCTCATCAGTGGCTTAAGCCCTACGCCACCCCAATTGCAGTTTAGACAGCCAGGTAACTGCTGTGCACTGGCATGTATTTACTTATTGAATAACGTTGTTTGAAAATAAAAAAACTATCTTTCTACTCTTTTCTCAAAGAAGTATATAATAACAGCATTAAAAAAAACGTTTAGAAAACTAGTGATGAATGCATAGTACACCAAAATTTGATACTGTTCCTTCACACTGTGTTTTTATGAAAGTTTAGTTTCATAGTTTTGATAAAAAGAAAATGTTTCATAATCCTTTATGTTACATGATTACTTGTCTCCTGTTGGAGAAGGACAAAAACAAACAAATTTTCTAGATTCCATGATGGTTTCTTTTTATCTTTCAGCTGCGCAGATGCTTTCTGCACACTTTACTTCGCATTAAAGACTTATTATACAACATATTCTAAACACTTTTTATGTTCGAATTTTACGCAATGCCTTAATCAGTTCTTCATCTACTGGTTTCAAATGTCCTACTGATCTTGTTGTTGGTGAACTGTTGGCTTTAGTGATGCTGATTGCTGAAAGGTTCTCTTCATTCAGTGGTAATTGTGCATTTCTGTTGGTATTGTTATTGTTACTAGTATTATTTTTATTATTACTATCAGTAGTATTGTTAGTAGTATTGGCAGGATTAGTATTATTGTTCATTATAGTTTGCAAAGCTTTAGAAGTATCGTTTGGTGTTGTGTGATTTGTTGGTTTGGAGTTTTCTTTTTCCAGTCGATCGATTTTTACACGTTGTTCAGCAATCTATATAAATAAAAGGGTTATAATATACACAGAAAAAAAAGTAATAATTAAATTTTTGCCAATGTTAGGTGTTAATTTAAACAAAGCAAAGTGATAGAAAGTTGTAGAACTGAGATTCATTGGTCTGTGAACCAGGTAGGATTCAGTAATCAATCTCTCTCTCCACCTACCTATATTACTTTTAAGAATTTTAATCCTCTCCCACCCTATTGTGTGGTTGTGTGTTAATGCATGCGGTGCAGTTGCTGAGTTTTTCTCTAGATTACTTATCTTCTCAGGTGGGGTCAACCATTCTTACCTTAGCTAAATTCTTATGCTCCGACAATCTGAATACCCGTGACCTACTTGTTTCACTTATGTAGCTGACCATATTTACAGTCATTGCAGGGTAATTCAAATGAACTGTCGTCAAGATTTGACAGAATAGTTCTAAAATATTTGGGCGCCGAGTGAGAAGTAGACATTTGTAAAAAATTATATTTGTAATATCTCAGCGAGATTGATATGAGTAATTACAAATATAATTTTTTACAAATGTCTACTTCTCACTCGGCGCCCAAATATTTTAGAACTATTCTGTCAAATCTTGACGACAGTTCTTTTGAATTATTTTGCTATCGAATTAAATTAACAAAGAAACTGTGTAATTGGTACAATCATCGTGTTTTCACTCCCCGCTGTCTGCAACAGAATGCATATCCTAAATCCCTAGCTGTCGAGTCACCTCACAACTCCAGTAGGTCGAATAAAGCAGCTCAATATTCAGAAAGAAGACAATGCAATAAGTTCGACAGGGTGCTTAAACTAAACTCTAATCCTAAACACCATAATTTTGAAAATACGTCTAATCATAAAATTCTAGATACTAGCAGTTTGAACAGACATGAAGGTTTGATGTTAGCTGATGCATAGGAAATCCTGATTAATGAATAAAAATGGATATGTATCACTAATTAATAATACTTGGTCAAATTCCTGACTGTATCTTCCTATGGAAACGTTAAGAAATGTTTAACAACTGTTTACCCACACACACACACACACACACACACATACACACTCTGTTTAAAGTGTTTAACAAAGGTAGACCAATATTTGTAAGTCCGAGGTCAAATTTTGATCACAGCTCATAAAATTTTGTTTATTATACTTGTTAATACTTGTTGAATGACTCATGATTGGACAAAGTTTTTAAAAACAAAAGATGTTCCTTTTTATATATAAACCTCTGTTATGTTAATTTTGATTAATTTCCCTGAAGAAGTTCGGACCAGATTGCCGAACGAAACGTTGGAATTACTCATTTCAATATCGCTGAGATTTTACAAATATAATTTTTTACATTGCAGGGTAGTTTGTAAATTATATTATTTCATCTAATTGGGTCAGCTGGGTCCTTTAACTCCTGCTTTCTTAAAAATCCCCTACATAGGGTCTCAGATGTCCTCTCCTTATATGGTATAACAGTAGATGCCTTATATTTTCTCTTATTTATGTTATCATTACTAGCTTCACAATTATTTTTATTTTGCTTTTGGCCTTTTCTAATCTTCTTAATGAATTTTATAGGATAGTTATTTAATGCCAAGTAGCCATTCCTGTCTGTCTTTCATTTCATCGTTTAGGTTTTTTGTTGTACCACATAGTGTTGTTACTGTTCGGTTTGTTAAACACTTAACTAAGCCTGCCTTAACAGTTAACAAACGGATGAGATCTCCTGTATCAAACGTTTAGTTTATTATTTTGATTTTGAAATAACAGACAGTATTGAAATAATAGAGAAGATTTGTAGCTCAGGTGGATGATTTGCAATTAATAATGTTCTCTGAGCTGGTTGGTTTAGTTGCGGAGCTTTCGTCGTCCTTCTGGACAACATCTCTAGCGCAATATTTAGCATAAAGTGAAATCCAAGTCAATAGAAAATGGTCAGTACATATGTAAAGATGGTTACCAGGAGACGCACTTATATCACTCATGACGAAATTTAAATCATTTCACTTTGTGCTAAATATGGCGCTGAAGGGGGATGTTGTCCAGCTCAGAGAACACCATTAACTGCAAAACAGAGAGTATTTATAGATTGGATGGATGATTTCGATTTGGTTGTGTCCTCTGCGATGATTGATTGAATTGCGAAGCTTCTGTTGTTCTTCTGGACAATATCTTCAGCTCAAGTCTTAATATGATGTCAGCTTATTTGAATTTTACATGAATGACACATAACTGTATCTCTTGAGAACTCTTGTCTCTAATCTCACCAGAACAAGTACCTTGGGAGGTGGAAGATGAACATTTCCACCTGCATATAGTGTATCTTGAGAAACGGGCGACCTCCTTCATCTGCTAAAATACCATCAGCATGGATATTGCAGAATCTCGCATATTCTTTTGAATTTGAGAATTTTCACAGTTAAAGAGAGATGCAGACATCTTATTAATTGGTTTGTAACATATATGTCCAAACCAAGTTCACTTTTAACAGTTTGAAAAAATTTGGGCATTGGGTATATGATATTTATCATAATAATAAAGATTTTTGTATTTCCCAGTGAATGAAAAACAAAACGATATTGTTTTTTTACTGTCGTTTCGCTATTTAATGCTAATAGCTTTATCAAAGCAGTATTATTAAACCGGAATTTACAAAATCTCAGCATATATATAATAAAGAGTTAAGAGGTGACGAAATAGACTTAGGTCAAGTTAAAAGGACATATTGAAAGTTAAAATAACAATGAAGATCACTGGTATACGAGCTTGCCTTGTAACCGTAAGGTCCTGGGTTCGAATCACAGTGGGTGCATACTGCCGATGATTCCCAAACCAGGATGAAACAGCAGCTGTCCAGTACTCCCTGGTTTCCAATGGTTCTCTAACTGATATCAGTCCGTGATCAACTCGTAAGAAGATCAGTAAACCAAATAACAAAGGTAATAGTACGTCTGTTATGATATCAAAATAAAGTTTACTAACTTGATCATCGTTCGTCAGTCTGGGGTCACTTTTCGTTGTCAAGTTGGTCAATTGGTAAAGATAACAAAATCAAGTGTAGATTGTTGGATTTGATCAGTGTTTAAAATTATAAAGGCAGTGTGTGTTTACATAGTGAACTTGCATATCACATTCGTGTTGATTTTATTATTTCATGGGGGAGGGGAGGGAGGTGTTGTAACCACGTCAAATTCTGTTCAAGTCCATCATTCCAATTCCACTTGATATGAAGTGCTTCTGATATTAGACGTTCTTTGTGATTTCTGAAGTTTTTCTGGATTATTTCAATATTGTGAAAATCAATTTTGTGACCTGATTCCATAGAATGTAGACCTATGGCTGATGATTTTTTAAGTTTTTCCAGTTCAGTTGGATTTCTTGGTGGTCGAACAGATGCTCTGCGGCGCTCATTTATTCTGATTTTGATTTCTCGAGATGTTTCTCCGATGTATATCGCATCACATTCCAAGCATTTTATTTTATATACCCAATTAGATAGATAATCTTTAGGGATCTGGTCTTTTATATGGACAAGGTTGTTTCGTAGTGTGTCTGATGTTTTGAAGAAAACTCTATTGTCGAGCTTATTGAGTACTCTTCTGATATCGTCTGACGTCTTTGCTCTAAATGGAATGACGACTGTCGAGGTCCATGTTTTCGGAATGCGTTTTCGGCCATACTTAATGTCAGTGTTGATTTTGTTGATAAAGTTGTTTGGGTAGTTGTTTTGCTTGAGAGTTTCGGTGATGTTTGATATTTCTTCTTCTTTTTCTTTCTCATCCGCTGTCAGACAGTGTGCTTGACCTATGTCTATTTTCTCACCCCTTAACTCTTTGTTATATATATGCTGAGATTTTGTAAATTCCGGTTTAATAATACTGCTTTGATAAAGCTATTAGCAGCATTTGAAATAGCGAAACGTCAGTAAAACAATATCGTTTTGTTTTTCATTCATTGGGAAATACAAAAACCTTTATTATAATGGTTTGTAACATGATTAATTTCGCTAATATACTTCTATTTCAAACACCATTGGAAAAATAGAATTAATTCTATATTAGATAAATTAATTTGATTTTTTCCAAAGATTTTTACTCCTTTGCGTTGCCAGTAGAACACTGGGATTCAAGCTAGAGGCTTGAAGCTTCGGTAGCAGTGGTGTTCACTTTTACGGGATGGGGTTGCTAGCCTTATGCTAAACCTTCCCTATCTACCAGTCTTAATACTGGCTTAGAGAGGTTAAGGAATGCGTCTGTGGCCGGCGTTCGAACCCCTAACCACATGAGTGGCTGGCTAGCATTCCACTTCTGTGCCACTGACGCCTTAATTTGATATAATACTCGGTTATAGAATGTTCTTAAATCGGATAACATTATAGATACAACGTTGGATAAAAATTTAGATGCAAATATTGTAGATATGTGCTGAAAATTCCACACTGTACCACTAGCACTGTTTCTGGAATAAAGCAAATTATTATTATTTCTTATAAACTTATCAAGGTGAATTTAAAACAATTAGTCTCTCTAAATATTTTGTTCTGAATAAATGGGAATATTCAATTTCCAAGTATTGGCTTTGTAGGGATTTTGTTTGATTGCATGGAGGATTTCTTCATGAGCTGACATCAGTTAGAGAACCACTGGAAAGCCTGCGGGGAGTAGTGGACAGCTGCTTCGTCCTAGTTTGGGACTGTTCAGCAGTGCGCACCCGCCATCAGGGTTCGAACCCACGGCCTTCTGGTTACAAGGCCATCGAGCTCCTAGACCATTCAGCAGCCACTGGGACGCGACCGCATGCTTCTTGATTTCTAACTTCTGTCAATTCACGACATAGTGCGACCATTTCGCAATGTCTTCTTCGATGAGTTACTGCCTCATCTTCAACCTGCTGTACCCTACTGGTCACGGTTTCCCAATAGAAGGTCCTAGGTTCGAATCCCGGTGGGTGCGTACTGCCGAAGAGACTCAAACTAGGACGAAACAACTGTCCAGTACTCCCAGGTTTTCCAGTGGTTCTTTAACGGATGTCAGCTCATGATGAAATCCTCCGTGCAATAATCAATTTATCAAGGTGAGTTAAGCTAATGGTTCCTTTTATTGAAGTTTAGACAACCTCAGCCTTTAACTGTATAAATGCATAAGCATGTCACTGTTATAAGTGTGCATTCGTCTGACAACTCGGTACTCCGTCAGTGAGTACTTCAGCCGGTAACTGATACCATGACTTGGTGGTTAGGCCTGCATATCTCAATGATACAACAAGCTACACCGGTTGAAACGAATGTTCCTGCCAGAAAGGTCGTTCAGGTGGCGGCTAGATGAAAAGCGGTCAACATCATAATGTAAGTCACTGACGCTATGTTTAGGCGTCTGTGGGAGCAGTTATATTGCTGGGGAATAGGGATATAATAGTAGTAAAGGTGTTCCGCTTGGACGACCTAAGCAAGCTAGTTATGCCGCCTTTCCTATCTGAGAAGGAGGAGGGGATTTTAGAAACGTTTCACCTCTAAAGTTGTACATTCCGACTTATGGTGTTGACTACACGGTAGTAAGGTATTTATGCCGACAAAACTTCAAAAACTACTTTAACACACGTCGTCTGTGAATGGTGTTAACCAGTTGTCCCCTGGGCTATGTGCTAATGCAACACAAATGCTTCTGCTGATTCAAGTATCGCTAGAAGTAATCAATACCTACACTGTGGATAACCTGGAAGTAATAACCATTCGTACATATCCATAAATGCACACAAGCTTTCCTGATGGTCGGCCATCTCCATTAAGTGAAGTGTTTCAGTGATTTCATAGACTGTTTCACACGTACCCTTACCAATTCGACAGAAGTATTTTGGGGGAGATAAGAGAACAGAATACTATTTTCAAGAACTAGTTTGTATCGATTTGATTTGTTTCAAGTCTTATCACAGATTGATGTCAGCTAGATAACCACTGAAAACCAGGGAGTACTAGACAACTGTTTCGTCCTGGTTTGAGACTCCTCACAGTGCACATACTGGGGTTCGAATCCAGGACCCAAGACTTGAAAGAATTAAAGTCCTTACAAACTGACTCTTGAAAGTCAGTCTGTTGCTCACTGGTGAACGCCAACAGGGTGGAGCTGTCTGAAGCTCTAATGCGAATTCGTGGCCATTGGGGTTCACCTGGTCAGGAGTGAGTACAAATACCCGCCGATGACGTTTGTTGATGGTTGAGCTTAAATCACGAAATGGTAGAAGTTGTAAATTCATAGGCCACTGAATCGGGTCGCACTAGCTTGCCTTGTAATTGGAAGGTCCTGGTAGGTGCGTCCTGATAAGGAGTGACGGGCTAGGTCGAGACAGCTACCAAGTACCCATTTCTAGTTTTCAATTCACGATCAAACTAGAATGGTATTTGTTAATGGATACCAGCATCAAATGACCAGTAAATTGTCTCGATGAATATATCCACACAGGAGTTCATCTTACTTTATGGATTATCTCTTGACTAACCTTTTTATTTCATGGAAAATTCCTATTGTAATATATTGAAAATCAAAACAAGTGATTCAGCGAAGAGACTCTTTTCAACGAATTTATTATCAACCTGTACAATAGTATATATATATATATATATATATATATATATGGTTTTCAAGAAGTTATATCCGGTAAGGGACTCGAGTTTTGTCCAAGAGGGTGCAAGAACACTATCCTGCATGGTTACGGAAAGGTGGAAGTGGAGCAATAAGAAGCGCGATCATTGAACATCTGGTCGATAATGATCACCCTATCTCTATAACCTCCGCCTTTAAAGTCATCTACAAGGTAAAAAGTGACTTACTGAAATCACTACGTACCCGACTCATCTGTAGTGCTGAAGCTTTGGTTTTCGAAACAGAAAAGCCAGATCTCTGTATACAGAAAAAGTTCGTTAAACCCCTCCAACTTTCATATTATTAATCCCTCTATGCTAAAGTATGGCAATCCCCATTGCATATTTTACCTCTACCAATTTTTCATTTTGTCTATTCAATTTGTGTGCTCTTCCTTTATTGCATCAATTGTTATTATTAATATTAATATTTCACTTGTTCCACTTGTCATTCTAAATCAATTCTTTTTTGCAACGTTAAATTCTATGTTATCAAATTTCACACAATATTACCTAACGTTTTTATTTTATTCGATGTG